GGGCGTCGGGCAGAGATTGCTGGAGCTGGAGTTAAGTCGGGCATGTCAACCTGCAGGAGAAATATCAATCAACACATGGTCAACAAAACTCAGGGGGCGACTTTGTGGGCTATCTTTATCGGTGAGTTCTTTTCATCCTGGCTGCGCGTTCGTTTGACTGTATTTCCGCGTCCAGCGGAAGCGCCCTCGCCCCGAGGGCGGGTGCGTGCCAGACGCGCCGCGCCCTTGGGCAGAGGCGGCGAAAGCAAGGCTGCACAGCCTGGTGGACACCTTAGGCGATGCTTAAGAAAACTTAAATTTTCGGCCAGGGTCTCGATTATTCTTAATGTTTCAACGTAAACCCTAAGATTTTAATAGAAATTTTGGGTTTTTAGTCAAGTTCTGAGACTATGAATTTCTTAACCCATGATTTCTTAAGCATTTCGCAAGGTGTAGTCCAGGACCGGACGCTGTGGCCTCCAGCTGGTGTCTTCCTTCCTTCTCGGCGCGCCGCCGACCCTGTGATGTTGGACGACGATCGATGAACAGGAAGCATGTTGCCAGCTAGTGTCCAGATGTTCAGAGCATGTTCAAACATGTCTTGAGCCTGTGATGTTGAGTGCATGGTGAATTCAACGATGGGATTGTTTGGGTGTCCATTGTCATGGCCTGCACACTTCTATGAGGCATTCGCTCCGCTCTGCCGACGGGCCCGCGCCCCAGGACACCGTGGGCGCCACCCACCTCCTCGAGCAGCTGACCCTGACTGGCACTGCCAAGAGGCCGTGCGCCCTGGGGCCGCTGGGAAGCCGCATTCTCGGGAGCCTCGAGACAGGGGTCAATGCAGACGGGGGTCAGCCAGAGCGCCTGATCTTGCAGGCAGGATCCTGCAGGGCCAGGGTCGCATTGATCTGGGCTTGGGTGCAGGATCCTGCAGGATCTTGCAGGATCCTTCGCATTGACCCTGGTTTGGGTGCAGGATCTTGTAGGATCGTGCAGGTTTCTGCAAGGCCTGACTGACCCTGGTCTGGATGGACCCGGGTCAGGAGATCCCGGACACTCAAGGGATCACAGCAGAGGGAAGCCGGCTGGGGGTCTGAGGTGGCCCGAGCAGGAAGGGGGGCGAGGTTCGAGGCTCTTGGTTCCAGAGGGTTTCTTGTCCTCTCCTGCCTCCAGGAGCGATTTCTCTGGGCCGTCAAAAAAACGGATCCGGTGGGATCCCGGCAGGTGTCCCAGCGCGGATCCAAGAAATCTGCGCGGAGCACCAACAGTATATGTTTTTGTTATCATTCTTCTTCTAGGGATGGCGACATGTTTGAGAACATACTTCTGGTTGACAGGTGTCGTCTTCCGCGCGCGCGAGCCCGTGCATGCGTCCCGCATAACACAACGATGTGTTCCAACAGAGGCGAACGAATGCCCACCGCGTGCAGATGTGGTCAATGAATACTGCCAGGGCCTCAATGGGTTTATGCACCGAGCGTCTGATTAATCTCACAGCGAGGATTGGCATGGGGACCTTCTAACATCTGAAACTACAGGATGTTGCCAGGAATGGTTCGGGTCGTGCACAGCTCATTATCGTGTAGTCTGGTCGTTGCGGCGCACGATCATACCAACCAGCCCAGCTTATAATATATCCTTGCTCCTCGTGGCATGACCATATTCTCTGTCATACCTTGTCGTAGCCATTCGCATCTTCGATTCCTTCTTCCCTGTCAGCACCGAGAGACGAAACGATTGAACATCGTCGAGGATCACAACTTGTTCGCCGACTCCATTTAGACTGACTTGCAAGTTGATGCTGCTTTGACGAATCTGAGCTTACCATATTCCAGAGGCTAATAATTCAAAAGGCAGGCAATAGTTCACCCTTTTATCGAAGACGCCTACGGCGAATCACCGCCACCCCCTGCCTTTTTGGAAGCACCTATGTGGCCGAACGTTGAGGCCAGACCTGCCCAGCTATCGGACCATATGTTCCCCGAATCGGTTTGGAGAGCCTTCGGGGAACACGTGGGCATCTTGAAGGTCATCTTGGCCGTCTGGAGGCCATTTGGCCCTTTCGGGCCTTCTTGGAGGACGTCTTGGAGGGCTCTTGGGCCGTCTTGGAGGCCATCTTGAGCGTCTTGGAGACCTCTTGGGCCGTCTTGGGGGCCTCTTGGGGCCGTGTCTTGGGCCTCTTGGGCGATCTTTGGGGGCAATTGGGCCGTCTCGGGCCGTCGGAAGGCAGGAAAAAAACAAATGCCACAATCCTGAAAAAAACAGTATGCACCGGTGGGGGGGATCAACAATAATTATTCTTCTGGAATGAAAATTCAACAACAACAACAATAACAACAACACCAACAACAACAATAATAATGTTAAGACTGCTCGCCCTTATATGCTCGAGTGTCCAATAACGCGTATTTCCCAAACCGTCGATACCCGCCCTCTTCGTCTTCAATCGAACCCCTTTTGGGGGGTAGACCTTTCTTCCCTGCAGGCCGGGCCCTTGCAAGCGGCGGGGCGGCCGCGGACCGTCGGCCTGGCCAGCGGCAGCGCTGATCGGCGGGGCGGCCGCGGACCGTCGACCCGACCCCAAGAGGGACGGACAGGGGACCGACCACGACGACGACGACGACGACGACGACGACGTCGAAGACGACGACGACGACGACGACGACGGCGACGACGAGCGAAAGCGAGAGCTAGAGAGAACGACAGCAGGGCCACGAAGGGCACGAAGTAGGCCACGAAGGGCGACAGCGGGGACACGAAGGGAATGCGTAATTATGGGGCCACGAAAAACGCGAACGAGCGGGGGCCACGAAGTGTAGATAATGCGGGGCCACAGAAAGGCAACTATGGGGCCACTGAGGCTAGCAACTGGGCCACGTAGGACAGTGAGGGGGACACAAATGGCGACAGCGGGGCCACGAAGGGCATGCACATGGGGCCACAACGGGCGCAACTCCTGGGTGCCTGGGTGTCGGGAGCGCGGCGCTTGGGCAAATTGCAGGAAATTCCAACGCAAGGCCATTCTTCCGTAAGCTGCAAGCAAGTCTCCAGCGAGAGCGCGACTCCAGAGCGCCAGGAGAGCGATTCCTGAATAAATTGCAAGGAAGTCCGAAGCGAGAGCGCGATTCCTGAATAAAATGCGAGGAAGTCTCGGGCGGGGGCAGGGGTCCTGGCTAAATTGTAAGTAAGTCTCAGGCGGGAGCCGATGTTGTTGTAATCAGGGGGCCAAGGGCCCAGTTTGAGCAGGAAGATTTTCCATATCAAACAACAGGGTGCGAGCGTCGAGGGGCACACTTTGATGGAGAAAAAACAGTATGCACCGGTGGGGGGGATCAACGATACTAATTCTTCAGAAGTGAGAACTCAGCAACAACAACAACATCCGCAGCCATTTTGGTTCAAGCTCGAACCACTTCCGGCGCCCTTCGCGCCGCGCCGCGCCGCGTTGCTTGCTGCGCCGCTTGCTTCGATGCCGTTCACAAGGCTCGTCGCCGTGGTTCTGCTGCTCATCTTCCTGAATCGGGGAGCGACCTCCGACGAGCCCTTGGCCGAGGCGTGCGAGGCCACAGGCGAGAGCGAACACGCCGCGCTTGTGCAGCTGAAGAAGCCCAAGGCTGGGCCAGAGAGGGCGGCGGTTATTCAGACGGCGACTCACACCGCGCCGACGCCGCTGCTCGCCAGATCCAATGTGTGCCCTGAGAGAGGATGCGCCCAAGCATGCGAGGAGTCGCAGTGGCAATATGAGCATGACATCACTTATTTAAAGTTCGAGTGCCGGAACAACGAGTGTTGGTGCTATGTTTTTATTCCTCGTGCCTGGATGAACGAATTCTAAAGGCTTACGCCACATCCGCCGACCCCTTGTTTTTACTACCCGGGCGGTTTGGAGCATTTGGGGCGCCACCTTTTACTTGAGTTCAAGGCTTGCCTGGAGGCCGGCGTTGGAGGTCGGCCTGCTCAGAGAACGAGGAGGTGCAGGGGGGGCAGGATGGGCGGTGGGGGAGGAGTGGGGGCGCGAGAGATGCGGCGAGGCCGCTCCGTGTCACGATATACTCCAAGGGCCTGGCCAGAGAGGCCCCCAGTGTCAGGAACGGCGCTTTCGCCCGAGCCTTCCTCGCAATTCGATGAAGCTGCTGGGGGCCCTATTGCAACCAAGGGCTCCCACGTCATGCGTTTTCACGATTTATTCAAAGCCACCCTTGCCAGAGAGGCCCCGGCCCAGGGCTGGTTCAAATTCTGCGGGTGCCGGTGGCGATGCACGGTATACGGCGAGCCCGCTCCGTGGAGGCCTGTCGTTACTCCGCCCGGAGGGGTCGTTCCGTTGTACTACTGCTGCCACCACCACTACTACTACTACTACCACCACCACTATTACTACTATTACTACTACTACTACTACTATTACTACTACTACTACTACTACTACTACTACTACTACTACTACTACTACTACTACTACTATTACTACGACTACCACTAGTACGGCTGCTACTACTACTACTACGTCCACTACTATTACCACTACCGCTACTACTACTACTACTATTACTACTACTACTACTACAAATACTACTACTACTACTACTAGTACTATTTCCACGACGACTACTACTACTACTACTACTACTACTACTATCTCTACTACTACTACTACGACTACTACTACTACTACTACTACTACCACTACTACTACTACTACTACTACTACTACTTACTACTACTACTACTACTACTACTACTACTACTACTACGACCTACTACTACTACTACTACTACTACTACTACTACTACTACTACTACTACTACTACTACTACTACTACGACTACTACTACTACTACTACTACTACTATTACTACTTACTACTACTACTACTACTACTACTACTATTTCTACTGTTCCACTACTACCACTACTACTACTACTACTACTACTACTACTACTACTACTACTACTACTACTACTACTACTACTACTACTACTACTACTACTACTACTACTACTACTACTACTACTACTACTACCTACTACACCAGTACTACGATTACTGGTATTACTACTACTAGTATTAAACATACTATTCTTGTTATTTCGAGTACGATTACTACTGCCAGTGTTACCAGGCTTACTCCTACCCTTATACTTCTACGACTACGACTACTCCTACGACTGCCATCACTACTGTTACGAGTACTACTGCTACTACTATTACTACTACTACTACTACTACTACTACTACTACTACTACTACTACTACTACTATTGTACACACGCTACCACAAACAACTACGACTAACGATGTTGCGATCATTACTACTACCACTGCCGCTATCACTTGCAGCAGTTTTTACTAGTACTAGTATTCTTAGTACTCCCACCACCGTTACTGTTACGACTACTACTACTACTACTTCTACTACGACTTCCACTTCTATTTACGATGTCCTACTTTCTACGCATTACGTATTGGTACTCACACACTTCGGGCGTTTCGGGCCCCTCTTGGCAGTAGTAGTAGTCGTAGTAGCAGTAGTAGCAGTAGTAGTAGCAGTCGTAGTGGCGGTAGTAATAGTAGTAGTCGTAGTAGTAGTAGTCGTAGTAGTAGTAGTAGTAGTAGTAGTAGTAGTAGTAGTAGTAGTAGTAGTAGTAGTAGTAGTAAGAGTAGGAGTCAAGCTAGCCAGCTCGAGCGAGTCAAGCATGGCATGCCCAGTCCCACCCGCCCTCCCACAACGTAAGAAGCAAAGCTGGCACAACTGGGG